ATTAGTGTTCTGTTTTGTTAAGACAGGGTCTTGCTATGTAGTACAGGCTAGCCTTGACCTCAGTGTGTAGCCCAGGCTGGCCTCAAATTCATGGCATTCCTCCTGCCTCAGCCTCCTGAGTGCTAGGATTACAGGTGTGCACCCCTTGGGTAAGAAATTGGTATTTCCAACATTTTGTGTGTGTCTTAGTTATGTTTCTCTTGGCTGAGACAGAATACCCAAATTTAAAGGAGGAAAAGTTTATGTAGCTCAATTTATAGAGGATTCAGTTTGTAGTTGGCTGGCTCCAAGGTAGGGTTGTATGGCAGAGGGGCCTTACAGCAGAGAAGCTGTGCATGGTGGGCAGTAGACAGCTAAGCAGCAAAGCAGCAAGCGACAGACAGGAACCCTCTTTCTGTCCCTTATTTCATATCCAGGCCATTGGCCCTAGCACTCATATCCAGGGCAGGGCATCCTTAATCCTAGCAACACACACCTCCCAAAAGCCCCACATATAACCACATGAAGATTTTGGGGGGTCCATCTAGACATAAATCATTGCATAATGATTAAAATATTTTCTTCTAGATGAAGGAAGGCTACCTTATTACCTATTACTGCATAGCGGATTACTCTAAAACTTAGGAGCTTAAAGCTACAAATATTATCTGTTTCTGCAAGTCAGGAACCACAGCAACTTAGTTGGCCCAATGCAGGGTCTCCTAAGGCTGCAGGAGCTGTTGGCGGGCTGCAGTGGCCCGGGGCTCACCCCCATGCACCCCCACTCTGCACCTGTGGTCTTCCTGCTAGGCTGACAGAATGCCTCAGCAGATGGTAGCTAGCTTTCCCCAGAGTAGGGGATCTGGACAAATGGACGCTGTGGTCTCACCCCCACATTTCAGGTGACCGCTATCATTTCTGCCCTTTGCTGTGGGTCAGACCAACTCTGGTACAAAGCAGAGGGAGCAGCAAAGGGCTATTCCCCAGGAGATGGGGAGCAGGGAGGGTTGTCCCCAGTCTGGCTGCCATAAGTAATGTAATAATGGAAGTATTCCATTTTTCTAGGTATCCAATGAATTTTTTGAAGAAGGATTCATGGCTGATACTGATTTAGATGACAGTTGTACACTAAATAAGAAAATACGAAATGCACAGTTGGCTCAGTATAATTTTATATTGGGTAAGTTAATATATTTTTCCAAATACTTATTTTTTGCCTTTAATTCCAAAAAAAAAAAGCAAAATAAGTCATCTGGTGAACTACTTGATGATCAGAATCTGACTGTTAAATACAAAGACAAGTCAAAGGCTAGCTGCTCTTAGGTGCTCTTTGTTCTTTGCTGGAAGAAAAGCTATAAAGTTTCGCATGAATCCTATGCTATGGTATTACAACAATTAACATTTCAAACCAAAAGGAAAGGAATTTGGGAATAATCTCTTCGGTTGGATCATATTTCTTGTGTTTCAGACACAAGGCAGGCCTGAAATACTTTCCCTTGCTTCTCAGGTTTAGTAGAAATCTTGGGGATTAAACAAATGAGTGGAAAAGATTCCACTTCTAAAATGATCAAAAAGAAAAAATAAAATGCCTTGGAAAAGCATGAGTAACTGGATACAGAATCTAAAATTTTGGCTTTAAAATTCATTTTGAAACCAAGAGAAACTGACGCCGCTGCTTGCAGGCACCCCACTGCTACTTCCTGTAAGCAACTGCGGAAAGCACACCTGAGTACATGTGGAACTGTCCTGTCAGTGTTTGCTCGCTGATAACATCTGACTCCATGGTTGGGCACACTGATGTTTCAGTTGGCCATGTTGCAGTGACAGAACTCTCAGATTAGCTTAGACAAAGAAAAAATTTATTGCAAATGTATTAGAGAGTCCCATGAAAGGTGGAATTAAATAGCCAGATCATTGGAAGAGGAACTGGAGCTCCCAAGAGCTTACAAGAACCATTTCTCCACATTTCTGGTTCTTGTTTTGCTCTGGCCCTTTACACTTTTCTTAAATACCTACTTTATTCCACTTACCTGTGGACCAGTTTCTTCCTTCTATCAGGCACAATTCCCAGATCATCTTACAGCGTGCATCACGAGAGAGAACAAGCTTTCCCCCACACACACACGCCAGCAAACTCTGGCTGGCCCGCTGGCATGGATGCAGTGTCCATCTTTTGACTTCTCATCTCTGACAGTGGAGTCGAGGGTGTCTGTAGGAGCTCTCTGCTCCCATTTCTGCCCCAGGACCGGAAAACCATTCTCTCAAGTGGACAGTACTTAGACTGGGTTAGAAGCTGTTCCTTCTCAAGACTCTTAACTCTCAAAGGGTGATTAATTGCTATTTAGTGACTGATGAGGTGTGTATCATGCAACTGTTGACTCAGTGCTTAATAAATCACTGGCTTAAAGTACACTTTGTCTCTTTTCTAAAGTGGTTGGAGAAAAGGAGAAGATGAATAATGCTGTAAATGTTCGAACAAGAGACAACAAAATTCATGGAGAGATTTCAGTAACTTCTGCCATTGATAAACTGAAGAATCTCAAGAAGTCACGAACACTAAATGCTGAGGAAGAGTTTTAAAGACCTTCCCTTGTACTTGCTTCTTGTTTAAATCTCTGAAAAATGTATTTTTTAAAATATGTTAGTACTTCTGAGAACTTTGGACCCACTGATAGGTTCACGTGGGATCCAGTAAGAGAGGAACGATGAATGAGTAGATAGATATGCGGAGTACTGAATTCAGTAGCATGTTCTGCCACTGGTAACAGGAGCAGCTTCGACATTGTCAGACAATGTCTTTAGCAACCTCAATGGTGAAATGTTACTCACTGAAAGAAGGAAACACTGGGAAATGAAGTTATGGAAAGTTGTTGTTAAGGTTTGTGATTTTTAAAAAACAGGCTTTGAGGGATGTAACTAGCGGTAGAGCTCTTGCCTAGAACAGCTGAATCTCTGGGTTCAATCCCCAGCATTAAAAAAAAAAAAAAATTAAAAGTCTTCAAATCTGTTTTGAATATGGAAAAAATATTTTTCAAGAATTGTGTCTCAGATATTTTTATGGCTGTTTATTACCAAAGTTCACAATGAAATTTCATCTCAATTGGAATCATTAATTTGTTTTAAACTAAGCAGAAACTGTAAGAAACAACTAGCACTAAATATTGGGTTACTGATAAAGGACTCTGGATCTTAAAAGAAATTCATTGTTACGGGATCTTTTATTTGCATTGTAGGTTAAGAGATGCAGTTTTAATTCTTCAATTCTTAATTCACCTTTACAAAAAATAAACTCCCAAAATAAAATGCATAATGGTGTTTCCAGTATTTCAGTCATGACCTTATCCACAGTAAAATTATTTTTTTGAAGGGCTGACATTTCACTGACTTATAGATTCAAGTAGCTACTAATTTTAATTGAAAATATCTAAAATGGCTTTAGGGAAATTATTTATCAAGAAATATTTATTGAATATTTGGCTGCAGAATTTAAAATAAATCCAAGAAATGATCTCTTTTCAACATATTATGGTTCACTGGGGGCATGTGAACAAATAGTAAGCAGAAGTGTTATCAGACCTGTGTAGTAGCATCAAGCGCAGGTCATGATATAATTTTTAAAGCTTTTTTTTTTTTTTTTTTTTTTCCGAATGCCTTCAGGGCAGGTTTGGCTGGCTTGAGTTGTGGGGATCGAACCACAGCCACCTGAGCCTGACAGTTTTGGGGAAGCAGCCACTTAAAGAACTGAGCTAGGGCCAGGCCCCCCCTAAAACTAAAATTTATCCAGAACATATCCTGCACAAACACCATTCCATTTTATTTTTCACGTATCAAGCATGCAGATAAGGATGTGGGTAATCTGAAGTCCCCAAAGTGAATGACCTTGGATAAAGGGGTGGGAGAGCCACACAAGTTGACCTACCCTGCAAAGTACCTCGGGATGTGAACAAGTATGCTTTCTCCAGAGGGCTGTGTGGACCCTCCGTTCAGGTGAAAATCCTACAACCCAAGCTCTTGGCCCGGTCCCTGTAGGCTGTCCCGCCTTACCCAGTGTTTCTGTTTTTGTTTTGCGGAACCCGGGATGGAACTCAGGCCCTTACACTTGCCAGGCAAGCGCTTATTCTACTGAGCCATCTCCAGTCTAGAGGAATTTGCCCTACGTAGAGGCATCATCAAGGAGTTGGCCAGGGTGACACCTACTGGGCCAGTTTCCTCTTCTGTAAATAAGTATATTGTTTTGATACCTGTCAGTGACTTTTTGTTCGTTTGTTTTGCTTTTTTTGTTTTTTGTACCAGGGATTGAACTTGCCAGGCAGGCGCTTGTGCCACTCAGCCCTATCCCGGGCCCAATAAGCACTGTCAGGACTGGCCTTAGAATGACGACCTGACAGACGCGGGGCTGCCCACTGTAACAATGGTTTCTCCGTTACAGGCAACAGCTGGCCCCAGGTAAATAAGAAACGAGGGCAATAAAACGATGTTTCCTGCAGGGCTAAGGTGGCCCTGCAGGCCCGTGAGGCCAGCTCTGTGTGCAACCGGCCAACGCAGATTGCGCATAAAGCCTTAACACCAGACACTTTCATCTAGAGTTTCTGAGGTTCCTTAAAATTACACCCAACCTTAAAAGTCATACTCAGACCCCCATTTGGATATCTGCTGGTAGGTGTCAGCCTGCCTGTAGGTAGAGGATAAAACCTGATCTTCCCATAGCTACAGTTTCCTCTCGCGCCGTCATTGCAAAGTGAAGCAGGACGCTGTCATCCGAACCTGCGCACGCGACCTACCACGGTGTAGGGTTCCCTACCCTCCTATATCGTCCCACGCAAGGGGGGCGCCTCCCAAACCTGCTCGCCTCTGCTTGCCGTCGCCTCAGGTGTGAACCTTCGCCCCCAAATGATCCTTTCCCCAGGCTCAGAAGTGGACAGAGGAAGGCGTGCACCGGGTCACGATGGCCTCGGACGCCCGACGGCCCTTTGCAGACCAGACGCCCGCCCCTCGGCCGCACTGCGCCTGCGCCGCGCTCCTCGGGCCACGCCCCGGAAGTGCGCGCGCCGGCAAGATGGCGGCTGCGGCGCCTGTGCTGCGGGGTCTGCGCCGCCTGAGCCGGCTGCTGCTCTTCCTCTGCCAGTTCTACGTTTTGTCGGGTGGCGGTGAGTGAAAGGCCGGGGGCCCCGAGGGCTGGGCGGGAGGAGGGTCCCCGGAGCCGTGGGGAGCGCCGGCCCGGAGCTGACGGTGGGGGCGCGTCCTGGCCCGGCGGGAGCGAGTGCTCGGGGCTCAGCCCTGGCGGCGGGGTTGGACCCGCTACCAACCTTCTGTCCCCGGTGGCCTGAGGAGTCGAGCCGGTGTCGGCCCTGTCATCGTTTCACCCCCGTAGCTTCCTGTCTCTGGGCAGGCAAGCCCTGAGGTGGTCCTGAGGGTCACGGCTTTAGGGCGCACCGTCCGGTTTCTGCCCCGGGGATAACGTGGCTCTCTAAGCGTGGATCCACACCCAGGATAACGGGATTCCCCAGCTAACCGTGGCTCCTTACCTTTAGAGCACTCGCAGCCGCACACTCAGGCAGTGAAGGATCCCGGCCCAACGCGCACCTTCACCGCAGTTCCCAGGGCAGCAGGTACTGGCCATTTTCTGTTCTGGTACATGTGCATATTTCTCTCAAGTAGTTTCTGGTTTTGATAAACATTTTCTTTTGCTATCCGAAGTTGCTTCACGTTTGATTATTTCATGTACTTTAGGCATTGTGAATTAAGGGCTGGTAACAGCCGTGTTGTTTTGATATTTGAATGGTTTAACATCTCTGCCTCATACCTCTCTACTGTCTCATGCTCCTTTTGTTTGTCTCCGTGTATGTATTGTTTTCCCTCTTACTCCATCAAGATATCCTTTAATCAGTCTTTCTTATAAATGGACTCTTGAGGTACGAATGACCTGACATAATCCTGAACAACTTGGATCGTGATGGGCACAGTTGGCTGGTGACCGACCCTGCTTTAATTGTGCCCAGCTCTGCCTCTGACTGCATCTCTGCTTTTTGCGTTCCTGCACAGCACAGCGTCCTGTTGATAATGATCATCTCATCACCTAAGAAAACTGTCCTCCTGTTGTTCTGATTAGTATTAAAAAATAAGCCACTGTCTCACCTCTCACAGAAAGCACCGAAATCCCGCCTTATGTGATGAAGTGTCCAAGCAATGGTTTGTGTAGCAGACTCCCTGCGGACTGTATAGACTGCACCACAAATTTCTCCTGTGTCTATGGGAAGTCTGTCACTTTTGATTGTACCGTGAAGCCTTCCGTTACCTGTGTTGTAAGTACCATAGCTTACTTACTCTGACTCAGTGCCTTGCAAACCTCAAATTAAAAGAGAAGTTCAAAACGTAGGCTGTAGCTCAGTGTTGAACACAGCGAAGTACCCAGGCTTCAAACAGAAGCACTGAAAAAAAATGCAATTTAGACTTGTGTGTTGTGGACAACATTCTGAAATAATTTTTGTAACTTCCCTGTAAAACATAAAGCAAAATAAACTTGAATAGTCTGTATTCCTTTCCAGGTGAGATTAATGCTATTCCAATGGTAGTGGTAATTGACACGCCCCATTGGTGTCAGCTGCATGTGTATGTGATAGCTTTGTAGAACTTGGAGACTTGAGCTCACCAGTGCACCCCAGGCAGGTGTGCTTCATCCAGGCAGCCTCTGAGTTCTTAGTAGTGGGCCTGCATTATGAGGAGCTGGTAAAGTCTAAATATAGTGGATGAATCTGTGGCAGGGTCAGTCTGCTCAGTGGTGGGAAGTTGGGTTTAGTACCTGCTGTGAAGCCTTGGTGGCTCTCTGGAGATGAATTAAGTGAATTCTTGTCAAGAATAAATCCCAAGTAGATGTGTTATTGGAAGAAACGGTTGATTACTATTGTTGAGTGTCACTAAGCTACAAGTTGGGAGGTGTGTCCAGCTTCCCTGCCCCCAGCCTAGTGCTTCTGAGCAGAGTGCACTACCTTGCTCTCAAGTTCCAAATGATCCCTGCCGTCCCCTGTCACGGCCCACATCAGTGGCTGCTCCCTTCCCCGGTGCACTTGGCATGGCCTACCAGCAGGTAGCCCACATGAGGAGAGCCCCCTAGCATGTAAGAGTTCAGACGCTACTTGTCCTGTGGCTATTGCAAGCCCTGAGGTACTAGACAGTGCTAGATAGGTTGCTGGTGGTGCTGGAGAAGAAGTGGAACTCGGAAGCCAGGCGGAGTACTATGCTTCCAGAAGCTTCTGGCTGGGGCAGGGGACCTGGGTCCTCCTGACTTGTGGTTCAGTGACATCCAGCAGGTGCACTCTTCTATTCCTTCTAGCTGTGTGACTGTGACGTATAGAATAATTTCTCTCTTTTTTCTACAAAAGTACACATCCTCATTATAGAAAGTTACCTAAGCAAATAGAAAGTTGCTACCCCTGAAGTAACTTTTGCTATTTTAATGTGGGTTGGTGTAATTTTTTCGCATAGGTGGACACTATATATTTGAGTATTTTTATGATTCCAGATCACACCATATATGTTTTGCATACATGCTGTTTTGATGCCTACTTTTCTGCCACTTCCTACTAGATTCTATAAATGGTTTAGAAATTTTGTACTGTATGACTGTGTAGTCTTACTAACACACTGACAAATGCCATATTATGATTGATTGGCCATGTCCTTTGGTACATAGGACCAAGAGCTCAAACCCCAAAAGAACTTCATCATCAACATGACTTGCAGATTCTGCTGGCAGCTTCCGGAGACAGATTACGAGTGCACCAACTCCACCAGCTGCATGACGGTCTCCTGTCCCCGTCAGCGGTACAAGGCCAACTGCACGGTGCGAGACCACATTCATTGCTTGGGTAAGCTGGAGGTCAGGAAATTGTGCGAGAGACGTACTTCTCTCCAAGGTTAGTGAAGGAACTTAACCAGAAGTTGTAAAGTAAAATTCTGGTTTACAGTGGCAGCAGTATTTTAGATGTGGTAGGCCTCATTAATATATTTAGTGGACTAATCCAAAATGTCAAAAAAAATATGTACTTCTCTTACCTTATTAAAAGTAGTAAGACTTGGGTTGTACTCAGTGGCCAGCACAGCAGTAATGCTGCTGCAGCTGGCTGAGCGCTTTGCTTCTGCCTCCTTGCTCTGCCTCAACAGGTGATTAACCTTTTGGATTTTGTCATCTGCTTCCTCTTTAAATTTTTTCTCTGTTCACTAGCACAGGTTTTAGAACTGGATAAAGTGACATGAGGCTGTGGCCTGAGACTTCTTTCAGCATTATGGCTCTAAGATTCATCTTTGGGACTTTCCTATTTGTTATTTAATTTTACTTCTGTAGGATAATCTATTGTAAGAGTGTAGCACGTTTATCTATTCTCCTGGGTGTTTAGATTAATTGCTGGTTTTAACTCTTGCAGCCACTGTTCAAAGTTCTGCACCTGCTCCCGGATATGAGCAAGAGTGTGTCTCGCCTGTGCTCACTGCCCCACAGGGATTGTTTCGCAGAGTGGGCCTACTAATTGACATGCCCACCGGTAGTAATAATTAACTTTTGTTATGCCTCTTATTTTCATCTTTTTATTAAAGATTTTTGGGATTCTTTTGTACTTTTGATACTAACCATAGGTGTGCCTAAAACCTTTTTCCAAATTTTGATTTTTCTTTTCTACATTCTTTGGAGACTCTTTTGATGATTAGTGGAGCTTTTAAATACAGTAAGTATAAGTTACTAGTCTTTGTTATAGTTAGTATTTTTGTTGTTTAAGTCTTTAAGTCCAGCCCCGGTTTATAAAGATAATTTCTTGCATTTTCTTTTATAAATTTTAAGTCCTATCTCACCTTCCCAAAGTTCTGGAATTACAGGCAACATATAAAAAAATAAAGTAAAAGTTGTGAGTTTGATCTTTTACATTTTAAGTTTGTAATCCTCTTGAGATTAATACTGGTAGATAGTGTGAGGTAGATTCAGCTTTATTTATCTTGCTACATGGATACATCAGTTGTTACAGCCCATCTGTATGTGACCTCTGTGATAAGTGAGGGGTTTTGTGTGTGGTTCTGATTCTGGGCTCACGCTTCCTGTTGGGTTATTTGTCTGAGCACTGCACTGTCTTCCGTACTCTAAATTTCACCAAGGCTTGCTGTCTGGTGGGTTATTTCACATCCTTCAAGCTGTAACCCTAACTTGCTTGATTTCAGTATTAAGTCTCTTCTTATTCATGGGAAGGACTTTGTGCTTATCAGCTATAATAAACATTGTCTCCCATAAAGAGAGGTGACCTTTTAGGAGCTGCATTACAAAGCCATTAGTTAAGTTTCTATGACAGTGCTTTTGCATCCACGTTTCTATGCGTAGTATTTTCTTTTCATAAGGTAACCGTACTTTTCACAAAATGCTGTACTGCAATTGGACTGGAGGCTACAAGTGGTCGACTGCTCTGGCTCTAAGGTAAGCTTTGATACTAAAAAGTTAAAAATGCCATTTAGAATTTTCCAGACATTCTGCTCAGCTGGGATCACTTCACTCAGATCCTACCACATTAGCATGAGTGTTAGGTAGGCTCCAGGAAACATGGCTGAGGGAGGTTTGAAGGTCAGGCCAGTCGTGGAATCTTACTACAGGCTGTTAGCGGTGCTCCCATGATGCCTTCGCATTCTAGAGATGGCGTGAGCCACTGTTACAGAGTGTCAGAACTAGCCAGGCTTTCCCATCCTGGATTTATATAAATCAGTAAATTGAGTAGACTAGTTAAAATGTGTAGATTTATAATTGTATATTTTAAATTTTAAGTAATTTCCTTTTATAAAAAAAAGTGCTCAGTATTCAAAGCTAGAAAAAAATATTTAAATTACCTATAAGTTTGCCATCCTGACAATTACGGCATTATCACTCTCCCATGAAAATGTGCATGCAGGGCCGGAGAGACAGCTCAGTGGTCCTGAGCGTGTACCTGGCAAGCGCAAGGACCTGGTTTTGATCCCCAGAACCACATGCCGTGTCGGCCTCATGGCAAGCTGGCCACCAAACCAGGCATGATGGAGGCTGAAACAGAAGGATCACTATGAGTCCGAGCTGTGTAGCAAGACCCTGTACCAAACAGATAAATTAATGAAAAAAAAGTAAATGTTACATTAAACTTTTCAACAGTTTTAAAAATAGGTGTATCAGTTCTTCCCACTAAAGCGAGTGGCAGGCCGGACCCTGGTTAAAGGTTAAAAAGTTAGGCTGTCTAGATGTGATGTCCTGAAGTGTGTAAGGCAAGGCAGGATTTCTCAGCCTTCTCAGCATTGATGTTCAAGCCAGATTCTTCGCCGTGTGGCGGTCCTGTGCTAGGAGAATGCGTAGCAGACCCCTGTCCTCTACGACTGCCTGGTCAGCACATTCTCCCACCCTTAGTGTGACCACAGCACGTCTCCAGATGTAGGCATTGGAGGGGACAAGTAGCCCCTTGCCGAGAGCCAGCGCCTCAGGCTTTGGGCTGGAGAAGGAAGAGTCCTGTCTGGTCAGAAGGTATAACGAGAAAATAAAAGAGGAATCCAGGATAGAAATGAGAGAGAAACAACACATTTTGTAACTGAACACAGATGGTCTTGATCTCTAGTGGCCCAATTAGAAGTAACAGGTAACTTAAAAAAAAAACTTCCTGGGGCCGGGGAGATGGCTCAGTAGGATAAGCGCTTGACTGGCAAACGCAAGGATCTAAGTTCAATCCCCAGTTCTGCAAAAAAAAAAAAAAACTTTCTTTAGAAAAATTTTAGAAAAAGTCAGGAATGGTGGAGTGCTCCTATACACCCCTCTGCCAGCATCCCCTACGTTGTTAACTCTTACTTTACTGTAGTATATTTAACAACCCACCTAAAAAGTAAGAGCAGTTTCCTTCTCAGAGCTCACCATGTTTTCTTCAACATATTGAGTATACAGGAAGGAATGTCTGAAGGGTTGCGGCAAAGGGCGCTTGTCCCTTGTGTCTTTGGGATTTTGGTTTCCAGACCTGCTTGGCTACTCAGTGGCCTAGTGTTAGCCTCTGGCCTGCACGCGTTCTCAGGACATAGTGCAGAGTGCATGTGGTGGAGGTAGTGGTTACACTGTTGTGTAGGGAATAAGGACAAGGAGAAAGGCCCGTACATGTTCAGTACACGCACAGTTCATTTTGGTCCACGGTTGGATTTGTGATGTGTGGCTTCCACAGGGTGTGGAGGGCTGGTGGCTCTGCAGCTGGGTTGGGCAGGTGAACATGCCTGCAGTGGGGTTGGCCATACATGGGTTACCAGGTCACCATCAGATGCCTCCTGTCGCTGTTTTTTTTTTTTTAGTTTTATATATGTTTGGAAATTTCCCATAGTAAGTATTGTCCTAAGGGCTGGACAGATAGCTCATTGGATTTTAAAGTGCCTGCAAGCAGGCGCAGGGGCAGGGGTTTCAGTCCCCAGGCCTGCCCTGCCAACCCCACCTCTGGGGTATGCTGAGACAGCAATTGAGACTGGGCATGGTGGCACATAACTGTAATTCCAGCTCTTGGGAGGCTGTAAACAGGCAGATCACTACGAGTCCGATCTGGTAGTGAGACCCTGAACACCCTGTGGACCCTTCCCTAAGATTACAAAAAAAAAGTATTGTCCCAGTATTGGTAAATCGTAGATTTGAAGGAAGCATAAAAGTCTCTTGTTCATAACAGAGAAGTCATTCACTTATAACAGAAAAGTTTTAAAGAAGGATGACTGAAATCAGATGAGTTGGTCTGAGCCAGCTGACTGCGTTAGACGTGGCTCCTGTCTGCATGCGTTGTCAGGCTGGGCCCTGCTTTAAGTGAAGACCAATGAGGTTGACTTTCTTATTTTTATTTATGGCGCAACTGGGGATTGAACTCAGGCCCTTGCGCTTGCCAGGGAAGTGCTTGTTCCACTGAGCCATGTCCCCAGCCCCAAGGTTGACTTTTTTAAAATACAGGTTTTTTTACTCAATAGGCCGGGCTGGGCTGTTTTGTTTTGATTTTGTGGTACTGAGGATTGAGCCCAGACAAAGCTACATCCCAGTGTTTTTTTTTTATTTTGAGATGGGGTCTTGCGAGTTGTACAGGCTGGGCTTAGTGCTGTGCTCCGCTTCCTTTGGCCTCCAAAGTGCTGTCATCACAGACAAGTGCCCTCACTGGGCTTGGTCATTTTTCTATGAGAGAGAAAGTACCGTGTTTCTGCATAGCTAAAAATTGTCTATCTACTTTATTCTGGAGCTGGGTATTAAACATGCTAAGCCATGGGTGTACTTTCAGCCAGCGTGCCTGTGGATACTTGGTCTTATGTCTCTGTGAGGGTCATGTGTGCTCTCCCGAGGGGCTATCGCAGTTTGGGCCCCTTTCCCGAATGGGCCCCCGAGTGCTGCGTGCTGACTGTGCTCCGCTTCGCCTTTGCAGCATCACCCTCGGCGGCTTCGGGGCCGACCGCTTCTACCTGGGCCAGTGGCGCGAAGGCCTGGGCAAGCTCTTCAGCTTCGGTGGCCTTGGGATATGGACACTCATAGACGTCCTGCTCATCGGCGTTGGCTATGTGGGCCCAGCTGATGGCTCCTTGTACATTTAGCTAGGGTTTGTGCTTCGAGAGGAGCAGTACTAGGAAAATATGTTCAACCTGTAGGAATTAATGTGAGTGATGAATTTGTATGTCTTTAATGTACAGCATCTGTACTTTGCTTGCCTTGATGAAGGTAAAATAAACCTTGAACCATGCTAACCTGAAACTTTTTATTTGCCTGAATTTTTTCTTTTCTGTGAAAAAATGTAAACTTAGCCAGAAAACAATTCTGCATGGGTGCGAGTGCATTTAACTCAGTGCTGTTGGTTTTACATTATGCAAGTCACACCATGTCCTCATGTCTGCAGCGGGCCTGCCGTCTGCCATGGACAGCCTTGCAGCTGCAGGCAGGAGCAGCTTTTTGTTCTGTTAATGGAGTAAAGTCACCTACCCGAGCTTCAGTTGTCTGTGAGCTTTGTGTTGTAGTCTGGTCTTCGTAAAGTAAAATGCAGAACTTTGTCTGGTCGCCATGATTTGTATTTTGTTAATATAAATTTGCAAGAGTACTGAAAAATTTCATAAAGCTACACATTTAGGAAATACAGTAGGCCTGTTTCTATGTTAAATTACCTTCAACAGTCTAGCACCTTACCTTTCTTATTAAATGAAGTGTTCTTCAGGGCAGTGCTGCATTCCAATCGTGATGAACCCCTGGCTTACTGACAGAAGCGTTGGCAGATGCGTTTCAGTGTGATAAGTAGTTGATCTGGTATGGAGCTGTTGTAGATCTTTATTGGACAGAACAGAAGTCCAAAATGGGTTTTACTCAAGGTTGCTTTTGAAACCTCTAAAATTTCCTCACATTCTTTCTTTTAAATTTGAGTGTCCAAGTATTGAGTTGTAAACTATACCTAGCATAGCAGATCTAGAAGCTATAAGATATACTGGGGATATGTCCGTAAATCTCGTGAGACAAACCTGTTTTGTCTCCGGATTATTTACTACTTACAGGCTCCTTGAAAGGAGAACAAAGTCTCTTTGGTAACTTGCTGAAGACCTGGCTTCTATTCAGAGTCTGTTAGCAGGTGTCTGGGGTGGGTGGAGAGCAGTTCCACCTGTGGTCACTAGGGGGCGCATCTCCAGCGTACTGGCTGTCCTCTTTCCAAAGCAGCTCATTTTAAGGTGTGTGTGCTCCCGTCCCGTCCTCCCACCCCGTCCGTGCCCCCCCCCCCCAAGAACTTGGTGCAGAACATGGGCAGGCAGTGGCTTTGGCTGGGAGTAGCGCATTGCGTGTGTGCCTTTCTTTTCAGGGGCAACTGACCACTTTCTTAGCCGCAAGACTTCTGGTTGAAAAAATATTTTTTTAGAGAAGGAATTTTTAAATGATATTTGACATAGTTATGTTACTTTTAGTTCACTGAAAAGAAAGGTTTGTGCTAACATTGTTTGGACAATAAGTGGCAATATCTTGTATTCAGTAACTAAAGATAACTACACGATGTACTTACCATTGTTATCCTATTTGGAAGTTTTACTTTATTTTTCCTCTTTAAAAGTAATTTTTCTGGGGAGAGGGGAGTAAAAATGCACAAGATGGGATATGTACATGAATCAGACCCCAAACTGAATGTAATCACTGTGTGTTGCAAACATAATAAAATGATCATCTAATAAAAATAAGAGCAAGATTTCCCGCCAGAAGCAGTCCTTTTGCTGACTACAACAGGAACTTCCTAACCAAACTAATAACGTAGCTGTGTGTCGAATAACTCACATTTTCCTGTTGAGCGCCTGCGTGAGACAGGGCCAGGGAAAGGCGGCGGGGGAAGTCATGGCTGTCTGCTTTGGCTGTGAAGGGAGTAAGTCACGGCTTCTGCCATCGTTACTGCTTTCAGGCCTAAGTTGAATGTGATGCTGCAGTATGTGAAAAGCGACATCAGTGGTTCTGTAGAATTCATAAAAGGAGACAAAAATAAACTTGTTCCTAAACCCTAAAAAGTTTGTGTTAAGGAGGCTTTAGAACTTAGGGAACATTAGCCAACTCAGGACCTGACCCTTCTGGAGGAGCTGGCCTCAAGACAGAACTAGTAGGGTATATGAGAGATTTTCTTGGTGTGTGTGTGTGTGTGTGTGTGTGTGTGTGTGTGTGTGTGTGTGTTGGTTTGTTGTTTTGTTTTGTACTATTTAGTCAGGGTCTTGTCATGTAGTTGAAGCTGGCCCTGAGTTCTCCCTAGCCCACACTGGCCTCAAACTCAGTGATCCTCCTACCTCAGCCTCCAGAGTGCGGGGGTTACAGGCATGAGCCACTGTGCCTGGACAGATTTTCAGATACAAGTTAAACACATGAATAATGAACTATGCATTGCCCCTAATAATACAGAATAAAGCACTTTCAAAGGGCCCTAACATGGGTGAGGGTAATCTACAAATCCCAGGGGCTTCTGCTGACAGCAGAGTGCTGGGTTTGGGCCTGGCCTTCAGGTTCTATTCCCATGCTGTCTTAGTCCATGTAGAGTGCTCTAAGGAAGAACCTGGGTGGCTCACACAAACTCACTGCTCCCAGCTTTGAAGGCTGGGAAGCCCGAGTGCTGGCAGATTTGTGACCTAGTGAAAGTCTTTCCTTACATCACCTGTGTCCTCGTGTGGGGTTGGCAGGGAGGACTTCTCTAGCTGTCTTTAACAAGAGCTTAATTCCTTTGTGAGCTCTCCCCCACTATGATTTAGTCACCTCTCAAAACTTGGGGACTAAGATGGAGTATGAACTTCTGGGGCTGGGGGAGACCTCAGGCATGCCTTGGGCTCTGATTGGGGAATCTGAGGGAACCTACTTACACAGCTTAGGAAGTGTGTCAGTCTTCCCTCCTCTACCGATGGTTCTCTGGCCACACAGGATTTGTCACTGCCACGTGCCATCTGTCACTATGTAGTCTTTCTGTCCCTACATTGCTTCCTCAGCACTGTTGGTTTCACCACAGTGACTCCTCACAGGAAGGTGCCATGCTGTGTATTTCTCTCCTCCCTAGCATGATGCCTTACACACCAAGGCCTTTGCGTACTGCAGAGGAACTTTGTGTCTTGGAGGTTTGAAGAGGTTGCACAGACCTGCAGAGACTGGGGCTTGAGGTGGCTGCAGGAATGTTTGAAAATTGACTTCGGGTAAATAAGCACTTATCTACAGCACCATGTCAATCCTGACTTCTGCAAACTGCTGAGGAACAGTTCTGGCTTATGGGGCTTATAAAAAGATATTTTTAAAACATCTTATGCCTCAAGATTTTTAAATGTAAAAATATCTTCTGTGTGCCATGCCACTTCGCTTCACCATGATTTGCTTTATACCTTATGCCAGAACTGCATTTATTTTTGGTGTATCATCAGCTAAGGAATTTGCAAATGACTTTTTTCCTTCTGTCAGCAATGAGTAGAAAATGAGCTCTGTTGCAGCTTTTTAGATACAACACAGCTCAGAGTGAAGAGATTCCTTCTCCCCTGCTCTGAAAATTCCCCGGCTATGCCGCATCAATGAGAGTACATAGCTTAATTTCATTTGTTTATATTTGTTTGTGCTGAGGATTGAACTCAGGACCCTCCATGCTAGGAAAAGTCTCTACCACTGAGCCCCTAGAAAACATCTTGTATGTACTAATGATGCACATATTTTGATATGGTGAAATGACTCCTATAGTCAAGAAAAATAAACATTTCCACTGTCACACAGCACATTTATGTGTGTGGTAAGAGCATGTTAGCCTTACTCTTATAAATTTTCCATGTAGCACATAGAGCCCTTCATATGGCTTAAACATGAAGCATCCCCCAAAGACCCAGCTGGAGAGTGCAAGCCCCAAAGCAGCCATGTTCATAGATAAGGCCTAGATCGGTGGTGGGGTCTGCAGGGCCTTCACCTCAGTGGAGCCACCTGAACAGGGCAGGTGGTGGAGCCAGTTGGAGGAAGCGGATCCCAGGGTGGTAGCCTCTCTGGTGCCCTTCTCTCCGCCTCTTTCTGGATGCCACAGGGTGAACAGCTCATCTCTGCCAGACCTTTCTACCTTGATGTCCCTGCCTTGGAGCCAGGTGCCTGTGGACTGAAACCTCTGAGCCTTTCTTTTAAAGTTGTTTATGTCAAGCATTTGATCACAAAGACAAAAAACTGACTAAATCTTGATGCTGTACACTGTAGCTCCCATCTCTTTGTCTGTTTATTTATTTAATTGCTTGCAGTGTTGAGGATGAAAAACTGAGGTAGCCCAGTGCTCTACACTGAGGGACACCCTCAGCATCTGCAAGCTAAATTTAAAATCTAGGGGAGCGACTGGGGAGATAGCTTGGAACCTCAGGTGTGCCTTGCTGCCCTGGAACTTGGCATGGTAGCACATGTCTGTAACCTCAGCGCTGGGGAGGCTGAGACAGGAGGATCACTGAACTGCATTGCAAGACCATGTATCTAAATAAAATAAAATCTAGGGGAAATCAGTATCAATTTTTAGATTTAAAGTGTTGGAATAATTTCTATAAATACATTTTCTGTTGTTTTTGCAAAATTAAGAAGCTCTGCAAAAGGCCTAGAGACATAATTTACCAGGAGCCTCCATAAGGGTAGGGAGCCACTGGTTCTTTGCTGCACTCCAGCTTTGAGAGCCCTGATGGCACAGAAAAGGCTCATGGGGATTCTCTGATGAATAAATAGCGAGGGCATTCCAGGAGTCAGCCAATCACCTAAAAGTACTGCTATGAATTTTTTTAAAGTGGTAGGGTGCACCTGGATTGCAGCATCTTTCTTTTCAGATAGTTAATGGCACAAACAACGTAGTGGAAACAAGCACATCCTTCACACCCACACCCACAAGTAAAAATCTCAGCAATGAAAGAGCAAATGCTAAAAATGTCTCCAAATGGCAACAGAACAGAGTATTGGTCCTGTGCCCAAAACTGCTCCCACCCATGGTCCTGGTGAATCTACAGCATCCAGGATGCTCTCAGTGGCAAGAGAAAGAGATCTACTGTGAGAAGGGGAATAAAGTCATCTTTTCCCTGTTACTGATGAGGGATGAACAGCATTGCTTGGATGAGATCCGTGAAAGGGGACTGGGCAACAGGCAGGGTGGATTCTCTGATGGATACGGAGGATCCATGCTGAATCCGAGAAAGAATCAAGCCCAAGGTGAAGCCCACAGGTCCTGAAATCTCCTCTCTGACTAGAAGAAGGAAATGTTGGTTCAAGACGTTAAAATGTTTTCATAAAGCTTGCTTCAGCAGTGCATATTTGAAAATTTTTGTGAAGAAACTGGAGACCACATTCTAATAAAGGTATGGACCAGGTGCTTCTCTGCTTCACTCCTGTCTGACCACAGAACATTGAGCAGAGCGCAGAGTACAATTTCCAAAATGTTTAGAGCAAGAAAAAAGAAAGGAACTGATTCATATGGCATCATGGAGTTGTCCACATTCCACTAGAACGGAATGACAGAATCAGCATGCTTTTCACTGGGATGACTCTACCATGGTTTTTGTATTGCACATTGCTGTCTTCTATGTAGTTGCTCAGATTACAGATATTAGCATATGGAGTTAGTCAAAGGAAAATTTTAAAGGTTAGCTGCTACTTTAAGAAAACTGATGAAAATTAATAGTACTATCATTTCAGCTATATATACTAGCATGATTTTTCCCTTCCTTTTTTCCATGTCTTTACTCCTTTCCCTCATCTCCAGTGTTTATTCCTTATGTTCAGTTTGTTTCTGTTTTTCTATATCTAAATCTGAAAGATTTTACTTTCAGATTTTACTTATTCTTTCAGGTTTTTACACTAGGGGAACAATATGAAGTTTACACATATGGGTCTGACTTATTTCACTTATGAGTATAGTCTCTAGTTGCATCCCTTTACCTATAAAGGCCTCAAGTTTGTCTTTCTTTATAGCTGAGTAATGCTCCATTGTATAAAATTATCACATCTTTTTTATCATTCCTCCAGATCTATCGCCATGCACTAACGTGAAAATGGATTAAAGACCTAAACATTAAAACAGAGACACTAAATCTACTAGAAGAGAAAGTAGGTGGAAATCTTGAAGACATAGGGGTAGACAGAGAGCTCATGAACAAAACCAAAACTGCATGGGAAACACCTCAAAGAATTAACAACTAGGATTTCAATGAGAAGTTT